GTTAAATATTTGAGCTTACCAACTTTAACACTTTATTGCAATCGTAAGTCAGGATGTTATCAGAAGGAGCGATACATATGCAGAAGGACGTGTACCTATGTTTGATAGACTACGCAAAGGTCTTCGACAAAGTACGCCACAAGAATCTGATGGAAGTGCTCAGCAACCTCGATATATTCGGGAAAGATGTCAGAATAATCAAGAACCTATACTGGCAGCAAATGGTAGCATGTTCATGTGCATAGGGAACAAGTTCAGTGAATATACAAAAATATGAAGGGGCGTAAGGCAAGGATGCGTCTTCTCACCCGACCTGTTCAACTTATACAGCGAGGCAATCCTGAGAGAATTGGAAACCTTACCGGGGTTTAGCATTGGCGGCCACAATCTTAACAACATAAGATACGCAGATGATGCAGTACTGATAGCAGACACGGAAATGAAATTACAAAATCTCCTACAGAAGGTAGCGACGGAGAGTGAGATAAACTGGATTAAGCATAAACTACAAGAGTGCATGGTCGCCAGTAAGAGGATGAGCCCGAAATGCGATCTGAAGTTTAAATATCTGGGGAGCGTTTTGACAGAGGACGCTAAGTGCCACACTAAGATCTGTAGGCGTATTGGGATGGCCAAGGACACATTCCAAAAGCCAGGCAGAGTATTGCGAGACAGGAGGAATATCTTTGGTAACAAAGAAAAGAATACTGAGCTGTTAGGTGACATCTGTCCTTCATTACGGCAGCGGATGTTGGGCGATTTCCTCAAAGATGAAGAAGAGACTCGAGGTGACAGAGATATGGTTGTACAGAAGGATGCTAAGGATATCATGGACCGAACGTGTGAGTAACGATGAGATCTTAGAGAGGTTGTAAACATGGAGGAAGCTTATACTTAATATCAGGAAGAGGCAGCTGAAGTTTCTGAGACACATGATGAGAAAGGAAGGCTTGGAGGATCTGATACTCACGGGTCGAATAGAGGTAAAGAGAGACAAGGGGAAACAATGCGGGACATACCTGGCGGACTTAAGCAAGTGGATGACAGAACGTGGTCTGGGGGAGGAAGCAGAGGGAAAGAACTTGTTGAGAGCTGCAAGGAATGGAGGGAGGTGGAGAGCCATGATCGCCTACGTCCTGAAAGGACATGGCACATAAAAAGAATGAATGCAGATTATTTTTAAACAAGGTCCAAATGAAAATATCTCTGAAATTGAGAAGATTTTTTATTTGATTGCAATAAATGTTAAAGCTTCCACTATCTTTCGCTCTTCTTCTTTAGAACGTTTTCTATTTGACTGAAACACATATTAAATACTCATTACTCTATCTGTTGCTGATATACCAAGAATTTGTGGGCAGGGGACAGGCAAAATATTAAAAGTACATGCTAACAAACTAAGAAACGAAATAGAATTATAATATGATAATAATAAATTGATTGCTTGATTCCTTCATTAATTTTATATGGCCTATCAACATTTGCAGGTTATTTAAAGCCAGAAAAATATTCTTTTTTAGAAATAATACTGATTCAGTGATGCAAACCTTACTAATTAATCCATAGCTGGATGGGGAGAAGAGGTGGAACTCGGCTCTCCAATTAGCAATTCCGAGCAATTATCCATTACATCACTCGCACATTTGCACATAGTATTTCCAAGCGGTCACCCATCTAGGTACTGACCAGGATCAACGTTTCTTAACTTTGCTGATCGTACGGAAACGTGATTTTACCTTAAGTCTGATAATAATAAAAATAATGACAAAGCCTGTCACCATATTGCACACATTTGGCTGTGTTGCATGTGCGTAGTATGCTCTTATCAGGCTGGGTGTCCAGATAGGTATATCAAACTTCGTATATTTATACTCCAGCGTCACTATGTTTGCGTGATTTTCTCTCACTCAGTAATGATAATAATGTCGCTTTTTCAGTAAATAATAATATATCATAGAAAGGGGGTTAAGATAGAAATAAGTGCCCGAGATAAAACTATAACCTAGAATAGTGGACATTGAGGACAACATGAGTCACTGAATAATTCCCGCTTTTAGGAACCAACTGTAATAACGAATGTATCATTCAAATTAACCCTTCCTTAAATATATCACAACTTTGTTCAAAGCAAAAGAAAACAGCGGGTTGATAAATCTCCACAACCGACCCTAAAAGCTGAGCTCGCTTGATAATAAACAATATTTTACGTGTGGTGGAATCGTCGGAGTATTATATATTTAGAGTTCTTAAACCGCAATGAAACACTAAATGCACATTTATATGTCCAGTAGCTGTAACGTGGCCATATGAGTTTGATCGAAAAGGCCTACGATCATCAATATGAAAAATGTTGTTCTCCACTATCACAACGAAAAGCGTGTCTTGGGTATGACGATAAAGTACATCCGGCAGCAAGGGAGATTGGTTGTTTTGAGGAGCGTGGAACCACTTTTTAACTGCTGTTGTTCTCAGATTCACCCAGACCCGGGGTGATAGCACCTGTGGACAAATAGTGAACGCCCCTAAACAAAAAACAACAGTACATTTTTAAAAGAAAATGACCAACAATGCATTTTTATAGCCAAATGATAATCAGGGTAACATTAAAAGAATATAAAAAATATTTGTATAGTAAAATTACCAATAATACATTTTATAATTTACAAAGTTTATATCTAAAAAAAACATTCCTTTACTTTGAAAGTGTCAAATTATATACAAACCATCTAGAGTTGAAAGCATAAAATCATGCACAAAATATTTAGATATCAGTATTAAATAACACATAGAGGTTGACATGCCGCTAAACAAAATCAACCAACCAACAATACCTATTTATAGTAAAATGACCAACAATACATATTTAAAGTAAAGTGAACAATACGTTTTATCTGTAGTTGAAGGCATACAATTGCGTTCAAAATATATTTAGTTGAAATCATAAAATTGTACTCAAAATATTTAGATTTCGGCATTAAATCATACTTATTATAAAACCCAGGTTGTGTGTGTGTGTGTCTGTACGTTTATATATTATATCGGATTTCCTACATTTTTCAACCGATTTCAACAAAACTTCACAGGATTACGTAAAATTACCTTGCGGTGGTTCTAACAGTGCCAAAAATTGGAAAAACACAATTGTTTTTGCACGAAATCAATTTGAAAACACGATTAAGAGGCATCGTGAGAATGAAAGGGGGACAACTCATATCGAGTTATACTTATTATAAAACCCAGGTTGTTTGTGTATGTGTGTGTGTGTTCGTTTATATACGGAATCGGATTTTCTACATTTTTCAACCGATTTCAACAAAACTTCACTTTTTTTTTTTTGGCAGGTAGTGTTTCTTATTGTCTTGCACACTTTTTCCTTTATTTTTACATTCAGAATGCTTTAAAAATTTAAAAGACAATTGTTTATAATAAAATTCTATTCAATCAATAGACTCATAACGATTGAAAACAATCTTTTTGTTTGAGTTTGGGTTTGACCAATTCGTAAAAAAAAAAAAAAAAAAAAAAAAACTAATTAATACATGCGTGTCCATCAAGCTTAAACAATAATCTTTGTCAATTTCATTTTTCAGTCTTTATGATGGTCGATACTTGATCTATCTCTTACTGTTACATCCCCGGGCAACGCCGGGCTCTACTGCTAGTAACAGATAAAGGTAAATATGCCGCTAAACAAAATCAACCAACAACGCAAGGCCGCTTACAGCATGAATAACACAAGGACAAAAACTTTGAACCTTGGTTGATCTGTTCTATCCCATCAGCCATATTGACCTGAACATTCACCAACCGATTATTACTTTTTTTTTAACGCTGCTAAATGCTTTGACAGGGGAAAAACATTCTCTAATGAAAGCCAGATTCAAGAGGTCATCGAAAACCTTTTTTCACATTTGACATGCGAAATTTTATTCAAACAATATCGAAGACCTTATAAGCAGCAAGCAGTGAATAATGAGGAATATGCATACAATGATAAAAGTACACAAGTGTAGGCTTTAAGAAATCTTTATTCACTTGAGAATACAAAGTTCGCTTATAGTGTCCTCTTATAGTCCCAGTAAACAGAAATAGCTCTCTCAAAGAGGAAAGTAACGAATCAAGGAAAGACCACTCTTGAATATTCATAACAATTTCATTGAATAAAATATAATTGTACTTATTTTTTGAAGAATAGAGTTATAACATAAGCGTACATTATTTCTGACCCAAACTAACGTATATGCGATTGACTTATATACGATTTTGAATGATAATTATTCCTACCGCACGACATGAAGCTATTTTAAGTATTACATAAATAATGTCTACTTTTTTAAGTACTTTCGACAGCCGAATAGATACAGCGTGCTTGAATGGAAGCAGCAAACATTTTCTTGAATGATGTTTTGTTTGTAAACAACATCGTTTTGTGTGTGTAGGGGGAGGGTGTTTGCGTAAGGTTCATCTTGTGATTTAAAAAGTGGGGCTACTTTCACGCGCCAAAATCTTGTTTTTTTTTTTTGTTTTTTTTTCAGTCATACTCTACAATAATAGCGTTGGTTTCGTGCCTCTAATTAGCTGAGGAAACGGCCACTCGTGTTTATTCAATGGTTTTGTTAGCCTTGGCGTTTCAGGCCGACCTTCGCCCCCTGCTCTCGAAATCAAACTTTGTACCAGAGTTGATCTAGTTCAACAATTCTATGTCTAGGATAGCGCGATGCTTAGCAAGATATTACTTAGAGAAAGAGAGAGAGGGAGACAGACAAAGAGAGAGAGGGGGGGACAGACAAAGAGAGAGAGTTTCACATTGTGATACCCATTAATATGGCCTTGCATACCAAAGATAACTTCAATAAATGCCTACGGTAAAGTGAACGGGTTGGGTTAGTTGATTTGACGACATGTCAACTCTTGTTGGCTTATGTAATGTCGCAGTCTGCTGTGTCTTATTATTACTATATTAGAATCAATAAGCATTAACTTACTTCGGCGATACGGGCTTACGGCCATATGACGTTGAAATCCCGGTTCCCGTACAATCACCGAAGTTAAGCAAAGTTGAGTTTGGTCAGTATCTCGATGGGCGACCACTTGGAAATACCAGGTGCTGTAAGCTTCGATGTTGGTGTGAAGTAATAGATTATAGCTCAAAATTGCTAATCAGAGAGTCGAGTTCGAATTCTAGTTGGATCCGTGATATTACACGCAAATACCCATGGGAAAAGTACTAATCCACCTCTTCTCCCCCCAGCTATGGGTTAATTAGTAGGACGTGTATCTCTAAACCATTACCTCCAAAAACAAAACAAAAATTACAATCTAAAAAAATTTTCTGGCTTTAAATAACCTGCAAAGGGTTGATAAGCCATAGAAAAATCAATCAATCGATGATAGGGCACTATTGGTCGTTCATATTTGAGTCCATTAGACTCTACTCGGTTCTAGATAGATAAATATTAATCAATAGTATTTCAGTCTCTGCATTTACTGGTTCGTGTATTGATAAATAAAGGTTCTTTATATCTTGGTTTGAAATCTTCCACTTGGTTCATATTAACATCGTGCAAAAAAGCAACACGTTCAGCGCAAACGCAAGAAGTGTAAGGTGCTAAATCGCTTTCGTCACATAAAATATTTTGAGGATTTGCATAATGGTTGATGCAAGGCCCGGTCATCAGCGACTAAACCAACTCCATGGTCAGACATATCTGCTGAGTAGGGTAGCGCTGAACACACCTAACAGGATTAAAAGGAAGACCTATCAAAGGGCGGATGAACCTTCTTGTATGGTCGATGGACATCTAGCACAGATGAGTAGTCTGGGCTCCATATCTATGGTTCAGACAGTGCGGTGATGACCCGGCATCGCTGTGCGTGAGAATTCTCCAAGATTGAAGTCAACAGCCAGTACCAGGGTTTTCTCCACCCTGTCGGAATCAATGGCAAAATAAGCCTACAAGTTTGAGAACATCGACCGTGGTTTGATTAGGAGAAGGTGGACTCCAACAGGTTTAATTGGACAAGGTTTAATATGTGTAGTTGACTGGTCAGGTGTTTAATTGCCCAGCTACCCCACCCCCGAAGACACACCCAATCATTCGACTGATGATGATGATGATGATGATGATGATGATGATGATAGCGGCTCGATCGGTATATCTGGTATCATTTTCATGTTTTATTCCCTTTTACTGTTATAACTCTAAAAAGAGATGATGAAATACCAACTTAAGCAAAATTAAAAAAAAAAGAAAAAGAAAGATCAAGGCCAGAGAATGTATCGGTCGAAACATTGTGCTAATCAAAAACGACAAAAAGATTGGGATGAACAGCTATAGGGTGGCGATGTCAGACTTCTTTGCTTAACTTTTCACAGTAGATCTATACAAGACAGAGCTGCGGTGTAACGAAGTGCGTGATAGTGCGTCACTTGAGGATTGAAATCATTAACAATGATACTTGCAAGCCTAAACTGAGCCTTCGTCGTAAGTGATAGAGATATTTCCTTAAAAGTCGTGCTGTGAGTCAATGTTCGTGCCAGGTTAAAGGTCAGTATTTGAATAACAGCAATCTCCCACCTGGTAAACTGGCGTTACTTCCATTCTTAATTTTTATATTTGTCCTTATCCATTCTATTTTCATTATAAGAAATGCTGGCTTACAAGACATTCACCACACACATTTCAAAGTTTTTTTTGACAGTGTATTTTGTCACTCAACCTGTTAATGTTCACCGTCCTAAAAATTGGTGGCCTGACAGTTGCATACTGGATATTTGCGTCTCCGACAATTGCGTAACAGACAATTGCGTCCCTGGTCATTTGCGTCCATAGACAAATGCGTCCTTGTGTAACTCTGATAATTCTTTGAAGTTACCATTTTTTTTAAAGAGTTGTTTAATATAGAAATTTGCATACCAATAGCATTAATTACTCTAAGCAAGCAGAAAGGTAGTTACCATAAATAAAAAAAAAAGAAAAATTTCTTTTTTAAAGCAAGAGAAAATTAGGCGAGCAATTTCAGTTCACTCCAGCAGTGCATACCATAAACATTTAATGGATTCTTGTTATGATGTTGATTTGGGGTTAGTAGAGACAAACGCCAAATAACACGTAACAATAAAAAGGGTTTTAATAGGTTGGTAAAAAGGTACAGAAATCGCCTGAGTAGCCAATAACTAGCTCAGCTAAGAACTTCTCGGTCTATCTGTCTTAGTATTTATCGATCCACCCACGAGGATTGAATGTGGCACAAGGCCGGTTTAATGTGGGTATCTCCGAGCCCGTAGGATCGGCCAAAAATATAGCCTTTGAACCCGCCTAAACGGGTTCAGGCCCTGTTTACCTCCACGGACGAAACCTTGCCCTTCGGCAAAGCTTCGTCCGGGTTCCTCTCTGCTAACGCAGAGTTCGACAGACGTCGCTTACAGTCAAAGACTGTATCACGACTCAGCTAGACCCGAAGGTCTTACCCTCTCGGTCTATCTCTCTTCCATCATGTCAACTGACATGCCACTATTTAAAGTCTTTGTTCACAGAAGCAGACAAGTTCATCTTCAAGAGGGGTGGTAGGTTTCCGACACAACAATTCTGAATTTTAGAGATTATATTTTTATTTGGAACCCATGGTTAAGTTCCGAAAATCAAACACTAGTGGAAAAATATTTGTGGACAAGGAAAATTACAGCTATCATAAGAAAAACAACGATGAAACAAAAATATACAGGCGATGTTTAGAGCGATCTTGAAACGCTGTTAATCTGTCATTGCATTTTGAACAAAAAAAAAACTTTTAAATTTTCTTTTATTCTTTTTTAAAAAAAATATGATTACTCTCTGTTATGTTTGGTATATCTCTTTTGTGTAGTAGCAGTCGTAGTACAGTTCTCCGCGTTACGTTTAGCAAACGGGTTTGCTAAGCAATGCATTTATGTTTACCATTTGTTCTCTATTTATACTTCTCTATCTAATTTGCATACGATACTATCCTACCTACGTTTTTTTTTCTTCAAAATTTATGATAATTGCCTTTAAAAGCTTCAAAAAATTATCAAAGGTATGTAATTATCCAGGGTCGCATTTGTCTAGGAATGCAATTGCCTGCTACCCAGTTGTACAGTATGCAAATATCCTAGAACCCTAAAAATGGTGGATTACCGGTAGAAATTGATAATTACCGTTGGATTTGTTTTTTATAATTTTATAATTAATAACAGTCTTTTATAACCCTATAATTAATACCAGACTTTTATAAACCTATAATTAATAATGGATTTTTTATAAAGCTATAAATAATACTGGATTATGTTTATAAACCAACAATTAATACTGGATCTTTTATTTATTTTTATTAAAACTATAATTAACCTCAGAAATTTTTTTATAAACCTCTAATTAATTCCGGATTTGTTAAAAATCTCTAATTGCAACCATTTTTTTTTAGAAATCAATAATTCATACCGGATTTTACGTCGGTAAACTCATTTTAATGCAGATATTTAATTTACGCAAAACTCCACTCAGGATCGAACGTCCAACAGATGTAGTGACTGCTAAAAAGTGATCCACGTTTTATACTTTTCTTTTTCTTTTTTTAACATAGCGACGCAGAAAATATTATTATTGATAATTGATCCGGTTAGTTACTGTGTCACGATCCCACGAAGCGATGATTGCACGTGGAAGTACTGAAAATGTTTGAAGCTATGATGATTATTTATTATTATTATTATTAGTAGTAGTAGTAGTACTAGTAGTACTAGTAGTAATAGTAGTTAGGGGGAAGAGCGCGATTTAAGAAAAGTAAAAACAGTGTTTGACAATGTTAGACAATATTTCAACAAAATGTCTGCCTTTGAGTTATATTTAAAAAAAAATAGAAAAATAGAAAAAAATGTATTTTTAATATAACTCGAAGAAGACACACTTTCTTTTGAAATATTGTTTAACACTGTCAAACACTTTATTTTATTTTCTTAAATCGCGCTCTAGTCTTAACTGTTGAAAAATACTGGAAGAGTTACGTCATTCATTTTGAGTATTATTATTATTATTATTATTATCATCATCATCATCAATATTATCATCATCATCATCATTATTATTATCATTATCATCATTATTATTATTATCATCATCATCATTATTATCATCATCATTATTATTATTATTATCATCATCATCATCATCATCATCATTTCGATTTCTGTTATGGAAACTACCTACTGGAAAGACCCAAGGCAGGTCGTCATTTTGTTATGGCCACATTTCAATTAAATTTTTTTTTTTTTTTTTTTTTTATCTCCGATGAAGTTGCTAGCGTTACATAGACAAAGTTCTCCTTAGTGTGTGTGCACATTTTCAAAGCTGGGGTTTCAGGGATTCTTTCAATGTGTTGTTTTCATTCCATTTTTATAATTCCAAGTGCATTATTACCACTGGTATTATTCTTGTTTTCAATTTCACATTTTTTCATTTCAATTTCCAGGTCTTTGTATTTTGATAGTTTTTCAAATTCATGTTACAATCATCTGGACAAGCCATATTTAGTCAAGTTTTTTCTTTCTGGTTTTTTTGACAATAATGTCCGGCCTATTTGTTTATTTTCTGTCTGTGTGGATGGTATAATCCCATAGAATGGTGACATCTTCTATTTCTGTAACCTTATCATCATTACTATTATTATTATTATTATTATTATTATTATTATTATTATTATTATTTTCATTATTGATTGATTGATGGAGCAGTAAAGTACACCCATTCTGACAGCCAATCTAATAAGGTAGACACATGAATCCCAGTCAAATGTGAACGATATAATGACGGATTTGGAGTAAAAATAACGCATAACCTTACAGCTGAGGCCATGTTAGAGATACATTTTTAGTTTCAGTAACCCAGTCCGTTTAGACTCAGATTGAGGGTGTTCCAAAATCTCTAGAGGTGACAACTAACTCACCTTGGCTGCCTCATCCTTCAAGCTTAAAATTTAAAAAAAAAAAATCTTCTCGTAACCTGGCCGGGATATATACTGTGGCCGATCTTAATTCACTCAAAACAAAAGTCAAAACATGTATATGTTATCACCTCTAATCACTTAAGATCATAAGCCA